ATAGATGCCTGTATAAACTTAAAAGGTAGTATTTAAAAGCTATCCCATATAAAAAGAAATATACCTTTCTAAATTATCTAATAACATATTTCTTAAAAGCCTGATATACATAGTATTTTCCCCACTATTATTCTATTTAATATGTACCATGTAGACATTAAAAGTGTTTTACCACGTGTCTTTCTTATAGTCAGACACAAATACCAAGGGATATCAACTGATGTCAATAATCCACAACTGCACACAAAACATGACTACTGATTAGTAATGCAATTATCATATTAAAAGAGTTCAACAAGGCTCAACATACTGTAAAATTAGAAATCAGTCAATACCATGGCCATTATATAGAACATCATTGATTGGATGTACTAAATGCTAGCCTTGATTACAATTGATCATGATGAACCCTGCTCACAAAGGAGTCTGGTACACTAATTGAGGAGCCATCGTTAAATAGAATAATAAATCAAGGAGGAGGAGGGGAGAGGAGAAATGGCTACAAAGCTAAGGTCCGTCATATCCGTACAAAAACAACAACAACAAAGCCAAGAAGAGCCAGGAAGGCCTCTGTCTCTACCATATGTCCACTGACTTCTAAGCCTACTTTTCCAAAACCAGATGAACCTATGAGCCCCTCACAGGTCATCTCCATAACTCTGCCACAGCTGGAAATATCCTCAAAAGAGTCTGAGCAACAGGCATTTCACCTCGGTACAAACATTTCTGAAAGCAAGTCCTGCAGCGAGGCCAGAAAACCCAGAGGTCCCATGCATAATAAGCCTGTGGCCTGTCTCCATTGACCTACTCAAAACCAGGCCTCAGTCTGCACACATAACTAAAATATGTTCTTGCGGCTGAAAACAGACACCAGGTGGAGAGCTGCCCAGGTGGCTTTCCTCGCTTTCATTCAGGGCAGGCTGCACAACAGTTTGAGTAAAACCTTGGGTTGTCAAGTTTGGCACTTACTGCTTGCTGTTCTACTACTATCCCTTGTTATCCTGAAAACATGTGTTCTTCTGAAAGTGTCCCTAGTCCCAGGTCAGGGGCAAACAGTGCCAAAGTGCTGAAGAAATTCATCACACAAATACAAGTGTCATATTGCCTTCAAGAACATCCCAGGCTTGCCACCTGCCTCTGCTGAATTTTAACACACAAATAAAACCTCAGGTGTTAGACCCATACCTGATTTTGAAGCAACTAAAGGACAGAAGTATTGCTTATCTTGGTTTGTTACAGGGAAGAGAAGGCCTGGGGGAGCCACATACAACGTAGGCTACTGAAAATAGAACAAGTGCAAGCTTTGCTTGTAGCACAACACGACCTATAATCAAAGATCCAGAGTTATTTTAAGTTTTCACTGCTTTCTAATGTTGGAAAAATAACAGGCTTATTCAGCAGAATTTAGGGCAACTCTGCATTAAATTAAATGCTGAGAAAGCTATGCAAGGGTGAATATGCTAACACTAACTAGAGGCCACGAGATGTCAACCTTTGCACGTCTTACAATATATGGATGTGCAAGTACTGAAACAAACCTTAAAGCAACAGCCAGTCAAGAAAAAGAGAGGTGTCTCCCAACAGCGTAGAGCAGGTCAGCAGAAATTGGAGAGAGAACAGCATTTCAGACATTGCACAGATGAGACAAAGCTATAGGAAACAACATTCGGAGGAAAGAGGAGTAAGGACTTTGTAGCTACAGCAGTCAGTCTTAACTTGCAGGTACAGTACAGTGAAAGATTATTAGACATTTTAGCAAACTCCAGTTCTCAGAGTACAAGAAGCCACCAAGTTGCTTATCACTACATCTTCTAATAGTCCATAACATTTTTATTGTTATAATGAATTCATGTTTCTCATGTCCACTCTATGCTCCTAATACATAGTAGGCACTTGGGCATCCTTTTATATACAGACACACACATACAGAAGAAAGTATATATATTTATATATTCTATATTACTGTATATATAAATATATTCTATACATATACATACACACACATATATATAGTCCATCCCCCCTGCAGTGAGCAGGGATGTTGTTACTAGATCAGGTAATATATAATAATACGTATATATATATAGACACCTCAAAACTTTTGGTCCCATCTCATATTTGAGTCACATAAGTTCTTGGAGGCCCAGGAAATTTAGAGAAGCTGTCAAAAAAACTGGCTCAAATACATTAAGGTGATGATGGTCATTTATACACTCATCTTACACTGCTTTAGTGCTGCATAGTTACAATCTATTCCAGGTTACTTTACTCTGTTAGCAGAACAGCACAATATACTTTAAACATGAATTGTGGTCACGTCCAAACCACCTCTTCTTAATTCAGAGGTGAAAGCCCAGAAATATGAGCCAGATGCTCAAGCTATTTCAGTCTGCACATTTAATTTAAAGGGGTCAAAGCATAAATCATCTTTACAAGTTCTACTCCCAACTAAGGAAAACTTAGGTTAGTAATGCAAACATCTAAAAAGATGCTTTCCAGAAGCCTGGTTCCTGCAAGACCAGCAGAATATAAGCAGAGAAAAGAGGAAGACTAACACAAATGCGATTTCTTTCACTGTGAGAAACAAGCTGCAGTTCACCAGCTTCCCACTCGTGTTATCATGAGAACACGTTATTTTTACTGTTACCATGCCCTACAGCTGGAGGAGAAAGATACATTTATCTGTGGTGTCCTTTTGGAAAACAACCAACTCCTCCACAACCTTGGCGCTCTACAGGCAGTATGCAATTTCAGTTAAATGCAATTACCAAAGTCACTGCTGATAAATGCAAATGAAATACAGATAATGCACAGAGTATCTAAAGAAGGGAAATGGGGAGATTGAAGGGTAGGTAGAGAAAACAGCACTAAAAAACAACAGAAACATTTTTTCAGCGTGGTGAGACAGTCTCTATTTCAAGTCAGGCTGGCATTGTCACTAGCAGCTAACAAAACACACCTTACTCTTGTCATCAACAAGTTCTCGGGTTCAGCATTTGCTTTAAATTTCCCTATTCTATGTTTAAGTACCTACTTCATACTCTTCAGCTTCTTTTGTCAAGACAGCCAAAAGATGGCAGAGAAAACCGACAACCCCACCACTCCTCCCACAGCTTAGCAGGTGACATGCAACACTTATACCTTCAGAGGTCTGAGCTATACTTTTACAAGACTTGGAGTCGTAACCATAATGAGGATCATGCATACCAAGGGCCCTTCTCCTCTTGATGAGCTGGGGAAGTGTTGCAGGACAGGAAAAAAGGCACATCATCTCCCAGTGTCTTACAAGAGCAGAGCCCAAATGAGAAAATTCCTGTTCCAACAGTTCTTTATCTTCCCTCATCTCTTCCTGTCCCTGCCTCCTCCTTTTGCCTGTTCCATCTCCCCTTCTACCTCTGAGCAGGAAGGGACACAGGAGTGTGGGAACTTGCTCCCAGCACTTGCCTTCACCCCTTGCATACAACTGCAATCTCTGTTAGTGATTCTCAGACATCAGTTACATAGAAGGAAAAACTGCCAATTTTAAACTCTGGCACACTGAAGAGCTGTCAGGACAGTCTGACACATTTCTTTGGATTTTTACACCAATAAACTAAATCAACAGCTTCAACAGCCATGGAAGCACAGCTTACTGCAATCAGGAACACGCAGACCTCTTTCACAACAGGAGAGCCTGAAGCAGTTGTCCTTTGCAGACCTGCGTATCACCTGCACTCTCCTTACATGGGTGGCTAATAGCTTTTTAAAAGGGCAGTCTCTCCTACTGCCTACCTACAGTACCAAAGTTTGGACTGGCTGATCCATCAAGAGAATTCACATACCTGTAGCAAACTAAACCCATAGATGATATGCCAGGGCAGGCCACAGAAGAGCTCAGGTCAGTGCTGCTACTGTGCTGTTGTCACTTCTGTTAGCCCCTCCCCTGAATATTAGTTTTCTCGACTCTCCAGGGCTGGGCAGTGTTATATATGTGCACATGTCTTTCTACAGGGTGTATTTGTGCTCACCATGACAGGTTCCTCCACCCCTGCTAAGACCTCAGTCAACTGGCTGCTGTCATGCAAGCCTTGACTCTCCTTACCAACTCCTCTGTCCTAAAGCAACTTGTTCAAAATAACACCTGTTTGTGTATGCTTCGTTAGTGATGTTCAGATGGTTAAAGAAGCCAGACTCTTCCATGTGGGAGCTACTTAACAGAGGAGCATATATTTTATACAAAGAGATACTATAGGTGACAGGAATATTTCCATCTCTGATTCCTTAAGTGCACTCACTGTATTTTCTTCTGGAGGGTGGGCTTGTCAGAAAGCAAATAAGTAGCCTTCACATCAAGCAGTGACACAAGCAGGTGGCTACACAGAAATAATTACAACAGAGGATAACAGAGGTCATGACATAGGTTTTCTTTAATTTGTGTAATGCATACAGACACAGAAAGGGATATAGAAGTATCAGATGTCACAATATGATTTAAAATTATTATGTATTTTTCTATGACATTGTCCTTGACTGTGACTAATTTATCCCAGCATCACACAACCAGGTATCAGGGACACACTGTCCTGATCACTGATCTGTTGCTTGTCAGTGGGACCCTGAAAAACTTCCTACTTTACCATCCCTGGACTTGTGACATGGAAGGGAAAGTCAGCAGCTGCCCCTTTCTCTCTGACATCCAACGCTTCCTCTCCAACTTGCAGTTCAAAAGCATATTTTGGTGAACTGCTCAATGTCTTCTGACATCAGGAGGTCTATGTCTACAGCAACAGTGACTGTGGCTCACAGGAAAACTGATAGTCCAAGTCAGTCATAGAGGTCAGGAGTACAGAGGTGTTTTATTTAGTAAGAGTCGAGAAGCTACCATTTAAGTCTTCAAGGTAACTCAAAAATTTTTAAAAAGTGTTTTAAGGAACCTAAGTAATTTTATTGCAGATTCTTATTGCTCAACATCAGAGAGAATTTTACCAGTATACTGTAAATCTTTCTATTTCTAAAATGACATCATTATTTTATACAAAATACTATCTCTTTATGGTTTCCTTGCTGTGCCATATGCAAAATATCTTACTGGGACAGCAGGAAAAGATATTGGTTTTAATATAAATAATAGACCATTTTCTGGTGGAGATAAGTCATGGAAAAATTATATAAAATAAATACCATTTAACAAACATTTCCATTTTCCACAGATCCATTTTCTATTACTATCTGACAATATTTTTTCTGCTGCTCTTCCTTGAAAGACTCTTTGACCTTCTTCCTTTTCAGTCCCCCATCCCTGAAAGGTACAGAAAACAAACACTTGAGCTCACTTCAGAGTAAAGGCAGAAAAATGGTACAATATTTAGACTGCACCGTCAAAGCAGTTTTTACCCTAAACACTGGCTTTTGCAATACAGTGCTAAATGATCTGTACTGCCAAGACTTACAATATAACACCAACAATGCCTTTCCTTTAATCTACCATTTAAAAGGCAAATAACTTACTTTCACCAACTACTACTAGATCCACCTGTCAGCTCCATTTCTCTGTTTAGACTAGATTAACCTATTTATTCCAGCGAAACTCTTCAAGGAATAAAGTAGTATTTTCTGACTCGGAGTCAGTGAGGGTGATGGACTACAGCCCAAGCAAAGCAAATCTGCAAGAAGTTTTAATAAATCCCAGCCTCAAAGGTGTAGCTTCTTACCAAGGAAGCACAGACATTCCTCCCTGAGCAGCAATGACTGCCTTGACTCTGTTGGCAAAGTGAACGGCATCTTCTTCTTCCTGAAAAAATATATGAATGATTTGCATTGCAACTTAAACATTTTCTCTGTATCTCTTTTAAAGAGATAATTTTGTCAGACAGCAGGCACTTTGGTTTATAGCAGACTCCCAAGCCAACTGTGACCTGCAGAGCCGTTCCAGCTGCTCCTGGGAACACCACCTGGTTTGCCACCATTCAGTGTCAAAAAGAACCAAGTGGAAGGCTCTGTGGTTTCTGGGCCCATCTCAAACAACAACAGAGTGAAGTCACGGGCCTGGCCAGAGCACAGGACACACCTGCTCCCAGTACTTCAGTATCAGTCTGAAGCTGCAAACTCACTGACAGGATCACCTTGGAGGAGATGGGGTATCTTGAACAGGGTTGGAGCCTGGTGGCTTCAGGATCAGTGAATTTATTGGTAGTTCACAGGAGTCTGCCTGAACTGCAGAGGGCTGAAGATACATGCATTACAGCAGCTTTCCTGCCAAGACTAAGGCTGAGCAAAGACGGGGGTAGGCGGTACCAAACTGGGGCACTGCTGGAGCAAAGGCCTTGGCCATTTTGTCTGCATTAAGTCAGTATCCAGGGGCAGTGGGTTGAGAGGCTGTGCCAAGTTGTGTGGTAAAGCTGCTGGGCAAAGGATTACCAAAATATTCTGCAGGGCTGAGAAGTAAGGAGGTGGGAGGAAGCTGTGTAAATGCAGGTAGAGGAGGGACACAGAAGGCAGAAACACCCCAGTATGGAATGAAGAGGAAGCCTGAATCTATATCACTTCTGGAGTGGAAAAGGAAGGTCTGTGCCAGGCTGAGGGGCAGGACTCCTGCAGCACAAAACCACATTTTAACATCTCTTCTAGTCTCTGGGAGCAGAAGAAAGCAAGGCAGCTGCACCCAAGTAAAGAAGCTGTTTGGGAGCAATAGGGAGTATGGCACAGAAATTTTTTAATCTCTGCAAGAGTAGTTTTTACTTGAAGATAACTAATGCACATAAATACATGCTCAGTTAATTTTAAGATTGTAGTGTTGCTTTCTGACCTTTTTCTATTAAGTTGTCAATAAAGATTCGGAAACATAATGCCAATATTCCATGCCTAGTAATGCAGACTTCCTCCCAGACAGCATTTTACAAGCATTTTCAAAACATACGAAGACATAAGTACCTCTTTGATCATCGGTGGCAGGTACCACACATTGCAGACAATAGCCCAGCTGGTCATCACATTAAAAACATGGGTCATCATGGAATGCTTTGTGCTGTTCCAGAACGCATCTGCAAAGCGGGGGTCATACTAGAAGACAAGAAGAATAAGCAAAAGGGCATGATCTGCTAAACTAAGGAGTTAAAATCACATAAGCTGCTCTTTTTTGGCCACGAAGTCACAGCTCAACTTGTCAAATCAGGGACAAATATAATCACACCTCCTAAAGGCAGCAGTAAGTTCAGGGTAAAGCTCCACATTCCAACATTCATTACAAGTTTATAACAGTTAACTTTTGCAAGCAATGCGGGACCCCAAACTACGACAGACCCATTGAAACACATCTCAACTATAACCAGATAGATCTACTCAAAGTGTAAAGAATTCTCATCTACAGATACAGTGACTACAGGGGCTTCTTCGATAATGCTCACACCACCTTTAACAATTTCCATAAGATTAGGCAATATTATAGTTCCAGAAAAAGTAACTCATGTATCTAGAACTAGGGTGACCTGGCTAAAGCTACTGTGAAACCCTTGGAAGTGCCAAGAAAAGTGCCTTTATCTGCAGAGCACACAAGAGCCAGGAGCACTAGGGCAGAAAGTGCAGACAGAACTGAACACAGCAGAGCAAATTGTAGCTGTGCTTTTTGGGTTGCTCCTAACCAGTTGTAAAGACACTCAGTGAAACATTTCTCATGCCGCACCAAACTGCAAGACATTGCACACCATGGAAATATTACATTTTCTCAAGGCTTATTCAGTACCTTCTTTACACAGAACAACCCCCTTTTAAGGTTTACACAAGACAAGCTCCTCTGACTTGATAAGCTCCTGCAAATAATCCTTCCATGTTTGGGAAACTGCAGATACGTTACCTTGATCGCTACCGGATGAATGGTCCCTCCTACCTCAAAGCTTCCCTTCTTAAACATCATTACTGATGTGTTGTTTATGCAGGTACCTGGCCAGAATTAAAACAGATGAAGAGTTTAATCCACTCTAAGTATCAGGAAAATAATCCTAAACTGTCTTAAGGAGACTTAAGTTGCTAAAGGAGAAAGTAAACTTTAGTTCTGAAACATAATCCCAGAGCCTGTTGTCACTTCCATTATGCTACACACTAAAGCAAACAGACTGTCATAAAACAGTTGTACAATATTAGAATCTGACTTTAAATATCTCACAAGAACTAATTAATTTTACAGACTAAAATCAAACACCTCACTGGTAAAAACTGGGTATAACAAACTGCACTTTGAGCAGAGCAATAAAATCAGTATAGTTGTTTCCTACCTTCGGGGAAAATTAAAATGGGTAATTTGGTCTTATCTGCAACATGTTCACTAATTCTGTGGAGAGAAAATAAAATTTCAGTATATACTTCATTTTCATAGAAGACTCTTATATTTCTATTTGGCCAAGAATCTAAACATCCATTATGTCTTACATAGAAGAAAAGCCCTTGCCCAATTGCCCTTTGTCAGTCAGTAGTTTGAGCCAGGGTGTGTACTAATTTCAGGCCTTTATCTTGGAGGTTATCTCTTGCTAATTGCAAAAGTAGGTTTTCTCCAAAACTGTACACAGTTTTATTTCACCTTTTTAACCCTATTATCACAAAGCCAGAGAACAGTGGTACTTGAGGTATGTAAAAGTTGCTTCCTGCTTATCTTCGACAAGTTCCAGCTACAAACACTGTCAAACTTATCTTTTGACTGAAATATATTCCATATTTCAAGTTTTCATGCCTTCAAGGTTCATAACATCAGATTCATATGTATCTAATGATTCTCCACATCTAGTTAAGAGGCCACTATTTTACTATCTTTGCTACATCACTTAAAAATAAATGTATTACCACTAAACAGATTACTGACACACAAAATCTGTTGTTTTCTGAGATACCTGTGTTTCCTATGACTCAAGAGCATGCAGTTCCTCTCCAGTCTGCATTAAAGAACAAAACCAAAACATCACATACCAAAAAAAGAAGAGAATAATCCAGCATAGAGGGACCTTCCCCATTTTTCTCAGGATAAACTGTTATAAGACACTTGCTTAATGTTAGCTGTGTTGCACCCTATTTCATGAAGATTTAGGATGACTAAGAACAGTCTCTATAAACCCCCCTGAGAACTCAGGAAGTGCTGCACTGAGCCAGTCCTGGTTTTGTCCTTAAAGTCCAACATGCAGTCTCTGTCAGGAATCAATACTGCAGGCCTGAGAGCAGTATAGGCATCAGGCAAACATATTAAGACACTTCTCCATGATGCTCTTCTACCTTCTAGCAGCTAGGTGGTACCTTAGCATAAAGCTGATGAGTGTTGAGGATGTTTCTAACGAGCTGTGACTGGCTCCTTCAAATAATGTGCACATCTACACAAGCAAACGCGTAAGCCTAAGGTTAAGATTTGCTACAATCAGGCTCCCTTTATCCTGTACTCACAGCCGATATAACCAGCCGCCAGATCTTCAGAGCTGATGAAAATGTACCAGGGCAAGGCATGATCTGGGAAGCAGATGTGCTGACAAAACTCCAATTTCTGTCCTGACATCCTGAATCATCAGCCTCAAAAATGAATGGGCAGGGTCCGGCCTGTGGTAATTACTTTGTGGTAATTCCCAGAGGTTATAGGGCAAACGATCAAAAGTTCAGAGATGACTGCTACTCCCTGCACCTTCATTGATGAAGCAGTTAAAAACCTCACACTGATGACAACCTACAACTGCCCACCAAAAAGATGCAAGGCGAGAACAGTCTCAACTCACACTTGGACATCACAGTTACTAGACATGATGGGACAATTAAGCAAACATCTCACTACCTTACTTTTTCCTCACCAGATGACGGTCTTTCATTTCTGAGCGTTCAAACAAAACATGCTGAGAGGTTTGCATGCAAGATCTTTGAATAAGTCCCATAAGACCTCCATGTGCCTGGCCAACCTGCAAGCCCAAAAGAAACTTGTTACTATGCAAACACAGACACTTAAATGATACAGTTCTGAATACAGACGCATCTGTTTCTAAGCTCATTCATGAATTACACAAATCCTCTTAGTAAGATCTGTGCACATACCTGCCTATGTCTATTGTTTCTCAACCCTGAAGGTGAATCACATTCAAATCAAACCCCACTCTCTCTACCACTGGGTTTATCCTTTTATCCAACACTACATCTATGGGCATCTCAACATTACCAGTATTTACCAACTCTCTTGTTCATACCAAGGAATAGCATCCATCACTGGCCAGGATTAGAACATCTAATGGAGACGTGTGGTTGGCTACACAGATCCCTCCTTTTCGTGGTCTATTTTCCCTGCAATAACAATCATAAAAGTAATTACTTGATGTTTATTATTTATGACAAGCCTCATCAGGTGACCTATCCAGTAAGTATACATCTGCAATTCAGACTGCCAGCAACAAAAGAATTTCAGGCACGCAGCTTATCTGTAGAACCACAGGAAGAGGAAAGCACAAAACATTCTAAAATTCTAGTATCACTATGAGATACGTTAAAACTTCTGACAGTACATTACAGCAGTTAAGTCATCTCTCCCCATATTTTCTAGAGTCCCTTCACATTTCAGTAGTTCTGCCATTTCACCAAAACCAGTTTCCTGTTAGTTGAGAATATGCTACTTCACTGGAGTAGGTGTTTTAGCTGCATACATTGTCATTGATATAGGCATGTATCGAAGACCCCCTGAACACTAATACTGTAAAAGCAAAGATACTAGAGCTTGATTGTGATTGTTTTACAAAGCACAAACAAAAAATATTTCAGAAGCCTTCATTACATATATCACCACCACTTAGCAAGCAAGCTATTGAAAAAACTTATTGAAATACCATCCATAACTTACTTTAGGAGAGAGCTTGAAAAATTATTTACTAAACAAATTGACTAATAGAACAGTTGAACATATTATGGTGACATTCTTGTGTGTGATTATAATGTGTTAATGACAAACATTGAGAAAAATAACTTTAGTCAAAAATACAATACTACTCCACCTTTGCATGCCCTGCCAATACACAACAGAAAACACAGTAGGCTGTGCAAACATCTTGACAGAGTCTAGATGTTCTAAACAGCTTTTTGGATCAAATTGCACCATCATAGTACCTGTGCAGTAATGGAATAAGAATCCCACTCTGAAACTTGAGACACTGAGTACTGTAAGAAATAAATACCAAACCACCAAGAGCTGGGTGGCACCACTCACCTGTTGTGGAAATGAACCAGACCACTCAGACATCGGACACCTAATGCAGCACACATCATCTGAACCTGGTTGCTCAGCCAGCATTTAACCCTAAAAGAAATGAAGCCCTACGTACATTTCCAGTCCTGTTCCACTCATAAAACAATGTAATGTAAACTCTCCAACTTATTCCCAATAGCAGTTATTACAAAGACAATATTAAGAGTATCGATTGCACTAGCAATGCTATGCAGGAGGAGCTTACTGGATATCAAATATATTCCTGGTCCATTCTCCTACTGTAATCTATTCTAAACCCACCATATTCAAAGCAGAGAAGATAACAGTGTAGCTGGAAGCAACTGCTATTGACTCATTCATTAATATTCATTAAATATAAAAATATTTAGCTGGTGAGTCACTTGATTTTTTTTTTGCACTGACAGAACATAACTGCTGCATAGTATTAATATGGAATTGCTCATGAGAGGCGATTAACTTGCCCTACTCTGACTCAAGTAGAACATCCACTTTATTTTCCACTGTAAGATGCAATTCCAGCAGTATCCATCTGGCTTACATTGCTTTTAAGATGGCTTTCAGATGCCATTGCCATACTATCTTTCAGTGCTCTCCGAGTTTACACTACAGGAATATCACCCCACAATAGTCCACATGAATCCTCAGGACTCAAGCAGATTTATAGTCCAACACCCTAATTCAAATCCTTAAAGAAATGTAAAAAAATAAACAGAAAGAGCCCTTAGCAAACACCTACCTGCCATTTGGAAACTGTCCTACTACTGTAGTGGCCGAGACCAGCAAGAGGATGCTGAAAACAGCCAAGCAGATGCTACAAAGTAAAATAATCTTAATTAAGTGCTAAAAAGCAAAACAGGAAGAGCAAGCAAGAAAATCTTTTATTTAATCCTTTTATTTACTTCACAGTGCTTCTTCCATTAACAGCATCTAACTATCAATACAAACTAGTTAAGGCCAACAGGATAATATGAGCACAGGTTTTCACTCAATATTGAGTGAATACAAATTTTGAATACAAAAACTTGTGCTGCCTGAAGCCTACCTTCCAAAAAGCACCACGCTGATCTGAAGCAATCAAGAGGTAAAGAAGCCGTTGTGTTCAGAGGACATCAAGTAGTGGCTATGTTCTTTAATGCAGGTGAGATTTTTAAGTGCCACAATGGACCCATCGTTTCATTTTTAAAAACCTATCAAGAGATTTCACTGCATATTTATACTCCAACCAGTAAGCTACTAAATAATCATTAAAATTAAATATCATTGGTTCCTAATGCCTGGACAAAACCAATATTGAAGCCATTTCTACATAAATGTTGTCATCTTAAGCTACGTGTCTACACAGGCATACGTGCTCTGCTGTGTGACTGACTGGTATGAAATTATCCTATGCAGTGCGGCTGTGTTTTGAATATACTGCCCTTCCATCAGAGAAGTAAGAGATTTTAAAAGTCCCTGCTCTTGAAAAGAAGGCATAAATATTTGTAACTGTTTGGTCAATGTGATAAAGGCTGGTTTTGCTTAAAAGAATATTCAAAAAGTGTGAAAATCAAAACCATCCTAAGTGGCTGTCTTTTTTTCCATTTAGCCTTGTGCTCCCAGAACACCGGCTTTGCTTCAGATCCCAAGTCTCCCTCTCCCTTATTCAGACACACAGAACCTGATCCTTTCAGTTGAAACAGTTGTTACTGTTACATAACAGAAAGATCTCCTGGATTTTAAAAACAAATTAAACAAAGACTTTGCATACTAATAAAACATATAGAACATGAGAAATGTACATTTTCAACACCTTTTTTTTCTCCTTTTGCAGATATTTGAGTTTTGATGACATCTTGGAAAACAAAGCCACGCCAGGTTCTCTTTTCTGCACTAGTCAGTAGCATATTGTTGCACATCTTTTGTAAAAAGTAATAGGAAAAAACATTTCCAGCAAGTTACATCAGGCTTACCGAAAAGGCATCAGAAGGCAATACCGAATTAGGATCCCAATGACCCACACAACAGTCAGTTGCCAGCTGACTCTGTGCAGGTTGGCGTTGGTTCTGCTGAGTAGGTTCCAGGACACCAGCTCCTCAGAAGAGAACCGCTGGGTGACTTCATCTTCTGCAACTGCCTCACACCCCTTCTTGGAGAAGTACATAACGTCAGCAAGGCTGAAGCATCCTCGGCACTGGCCAGCAATCTCCTTTTCCATGGAGGTTCTCTCTCTCTGGATGATTCCTGCATGAGGAAATGAGTCTTTCTTCCACACAGTGGAATGGACAACACAGATTCCAGAAAGAGTAAAACACATGATTTTTAGAAATAGCTCTCCTCTCTAAGCACCATAATTGCATTATGCCTCATTTACAGACTGGCATTTAATTCCACAAGTTACTTCTCTAATCCTATGCCATAAAACACCACTAAATTCTTGAAGAAAAGGAAAAGTATTCGGTGAGTTGCAAATAAAACCTTGAGTGCAACACCTACTTCATTACCATTTACCAAACACCATATTTACACACACCTAGAAACATCAACAGCGCACTGCCAAGATTGCAGACCTCTCCTTATGCCTTGACTCAAATTCAGGCAGTGTTTGTATATCTGTTGTTCTTGCTGCCGTTGATTAGCTTTACTTTTTCCACAACATTTTGCCAGGTGTAACAAATGCTTTCCTCTGGAATTTTTTCTCAGAGTCTTCTCTCTTCCCCTATCCCTTCTACTTGAAGAGTTATTTCACTAACAAGGAACATTGAAGTGTCTAGATTTTTCCCCTAGATATACATAGTGTAACACAGAAGCATTATGTAGGAAGTATAACAACATATTCATGCTCCATATCTGTAAAATTACAACTCATAGAATGGCCACACACAGCAAGTCTCAGTGATGTTTCATGAGGTGCTGAGGTCACTCTGAGACTAGATTTTTACCTGACTGGTTACTAAAATGTACTGACTCATGCCAGCTAACACTTCCCTGGGGCTTTTTGGTTGGGTTTTTTTGGGAGAAAGGGTAATGGACCACATTAAATATGCATTATTCAAAATAAATTTAATTTATCTTAATTGGCATTCCAACTTTCCTCCAGCTGCACTTCAGTCAAACCTTCAACATCCAGGAAATCCTCAGACCTGAAAGTCATTAGCTGACAAACCAAGCAATCTATGTGACTAATGACTAGAAACGGCACTACAAGCAAAAAGATTATAATAACAACTTAACCCGGTTCCTTTTGGTCAAAGGAGAAAGAAAAATAGTTGGGAAGAAATAGAAAAATACTCTCAGATTTTATCCCCATGCCTAAAGAAGAATGCAAAGTGTAACTATGATCCATGGGATGGTGTAGCTCCTTTACTTGAGAGACCCTGTCTTTTTGCATGCTAGGAGTTACAAGAAGCAAGAGAGAGCAACGTCACAGAGCAACGTCAGGGGAAAAGAATACTCATTCCTCTTAATCTTGTAAAGAGAGAGAACTGATGGAGTCAGAAAATACTAAATACTCATGAAAATAGGGACAGCTTCCCAAATGCTTATCAGCAATGTCTTTCTCTACCCACACTAGTCTCTAACACCTTTTATTCAGAAGATTCAATCCCTCATAGATTATCTTGCTTATAACATGAAGTCTTTTTTGTAGGTTTGTAACTTCATCAGTTATTTGCCCATAAAACTCCATTTTGGCCATTCCAGTTTTCTTAACTTAACATCAGATACAATTTATGTTTCTGTTCACTCTTTTCTAGATAAGGTATTAAAATAGCTCCCTTTTTACAAGATGAACAATGCTGTGGTACCTTCATTCAGAGACCTTACCAGTGGAGATTAAATTTTCAAGTGCCAGCGCCTTCTGCTTTTTAACTCCCTCCTCAATCTGCAGGGTGGCCCACTGCTCACAAAACAACAAAAGCAGATGTTAATGGATTTCATTTCGTCATTTCCAGGTATTCTGTAATTACCTTAAGTGAACTGTCTGAGCCTCTTTTATCAAACCCAGGTCTTAGGTTTTTCATTTTTCAGATTCAGCCTGAAGGCTGTCTTGCATGCCACAAAAACAAACAAACAAACCCCCACCCAAACAAAAAACCACACACCCAAATAACTGAGATACCTAAAAGACTCTCTTTGGTTCATAGGTCCAAAACTCTCTCTTTCCCGATTAGCTTCAGGCAATAGAATGATGCATAATACTATCACTGACATTAGAGACATATTGGAAAAATAGATCTGAAAATAGATTTTAAAGAATAAAAGAGATTATCACAGCATTAAGGCATTCATGCAGTTCCTGTTAAGAGAAAGCAGAGGAGGGACCATTTCATATCCATTGTATTTCTGAAGCAGTAGTTTTGGTAACAAGCTTTTACCTTTCCCTGTCTTTACCTTTTTGAGCTAAACCAAGTTTTTGCACCCTGTGCAAAGCAGCATAGAACTCCATTAACAAAATCAAATATGCCAATATGCCTAATTTTTACAGTTTTTGTGTTTTTAATGTCTTCATCATACATATATAGACATATAAATAGTAGCTTCCATCAGTACTAGATCTTCCCATGTATATGCCCTAACAAATGACACAGGATGCTTCCATGCAGGCTTTGCTCATAATTAAGGAATCATTATTAAGTTCCACTCAGCACATACTCTCACATGCTATTAAGGCTTCCCACCTACAACAGATAAGGATCCATCCTTCTGCTTCAGGAGAAACTCTTGCTAAACAGTTTCTTTCCCTCTTACTGATGCACACAGCCATTCAAGTCACCACAAAGCTTAGTCTCACATAGTCTTCGTTACATTACAAACCTGCTATTTTGTATGTGCCAGCAACGTCAACTAACTTTTGGCCATCTTTTAAGTTTTGCACGCTCTCTACTAGCTCCTTCTGTAGCTATTGAAATGAAAGTCAGTAACAGAAAAGGGACCCTTTATCATGGCATAATACCCTTCGTTGACTTTTTTTTTTTTTACCAACTCCTAGTTAACTCTTTTACCAGCCATCTCAAAAGAAAAGAAAAAACAGAGAGCAGAATGAGCAGTGTCATCAAGATCACAGCCCACGCACTGAGAAATGAAAGAATATACAGCACAGGAACAAGAACATTGCAAAAGGCAGTAAAGGCAGATGTGTGGCAAACTTAACCTCTTTATAATGTACTGCTGGTCCTCACTCCTCCCCCAGTATCCTTTAGGATAATGGTATGGCACGAAGGAGGAAAATTTAAAAAAAAAAAGTCATCTAGCTTGGCAAATAAACTCCTTTGGCTTACTCTCTGCTTTTCTGTCTCCTGTTCCCCACCCTTATCTTGTCCATCATAGCCCTCCTACATGAACAGGTACTAGCCAGCTGGCAAGCACTGCCAGAAATGAGCTTCTTATACTGTCTTGAGCAATTCAGCATATCTCAAGGAGGCTGAATTTTTATTTATTTCCAGCTGGGAAAAGGATGATAATCACTGACCAAGGCAACTCACAAAACTATATTGACTAATTTAAATGAGCAAGACAAGTCAAAACTAAACAAAAATTTATAAAGTTGACTAGTAAATTATAAAGTCCTGCCAGGCTATTACTCAGTACCTCATAGCACAGAGAAACAGTGGGACAAAAGTTGCAGCTTGCAATCAATTAGTCAGCCAAGGCTAAAAAGGCAGAGGAGAAGGCAGATGAGGAAGAGCTTTCAATAGCTGAATGGTTACACAGGGCTTGTCAGCTTGGAAAAGAGTTGGCTGAGATGGCTTATGACAGAGCCAGGTCTGGACTGGCACAGAGCAGGTGCTTAAGGAACAGTTACACATTTCCTCTTCTAATACAAAAGCTGTGGAACATCGCATGAAAGTGTTGGGCAGTGGGTATGAGCAAGAAAAGGATAATATATTCCACAAAACACAGTTATTGTCAAAGACACATTGCTGGAGATCAACTGAAATGGGAGCAGTTACATAAAAACATGGGTGAAAAACATCATGGGGCACCAAAAACAAAGTCACCTCTCCTAACTCATAAATCAGCATGGGAGACTGAAGCAACAGGCAGCTGGAAGAGTATTGCTGGCAATAGGGCTGTCCAGTCACCCAGCTCTTAGGCTTCTCATCAAGCAATTGAGTTGACACCTGTCAAAGCCAGGCTCTCCGTCCAGGCCAAAATCCGAACTGACCCAGCAGAGTAGTTTCTATGATCTTCTGCATTTGGTGGCATTGGTACATTTAATTTGTTTTAAAAATATGAAATAAGGCTGTGTCAAGTTGTTTAATTTTTGAACAAAGGGTGAATATAAACCTGCTTAAATGCTAACTGTACCCTAAGCAGCAGTTTCAACCATATTCTGGTGTGCCCCAGGACTCCCAGAAGAGGTCCAGCAATTTCATGCACAAGGTTTAACCCAGCATTTCCCAGTCCTATCCTTACTTTTGAAGGCCATAGTGCAAGCAAAGGGAACCTAGCATTCTTTCCATCCACTTTCCCTCCCATTTCTCACCAAGATACCTCTCAGCTACTCTTTTGGCATGATGAGAATTATTTAAACAATACTTCAAAGAAAACACCTGAAATTAATCGTAAGATGAAAACAGAGGAAACTCCTCTTTTGCCAGGACACTTAGGGAACAACTTTCAACTAAAGAGAAAAACCAAAAAATGCCTACATGGAGTCAGCCTGAACCGCAATGCACGGAGCTGTGCTCTTCCTGTTATTAGCTGCAGTGGCAGTGGAGAACTAGACACAAAAGGCTGTAACTGATCACATAACAATTAACTTAATTACTTCTTTTTTGATAAATTAATCCTCTACATTTTGAGCAGAAATTTAACATGCTTATAACCTGTTATGAAAAACCGTAGAAAAAAAAATTCATGTGTGTTTCCAAAGAGAAATGCCTTCCTATATTAAGCACCCACTAGGTGCGCCAAATGTCCTTTCAAGTTGGTAAATGCACAGGAAAAAAAAAAATAAAACAAACACAGCAATTATTTTAATGTCTGCCAACTGCAGCAACAAAGCTGTCCAAAGACCTCCTCAGGTTTATGCTTGATATGAGAGAGCCTGATGAAACCAATCCTACATACAAGTGCCATGAGCCTCTTACTCAGGGTAACAATTAGAATTTAATTAGCATACCACTGGCTGATAAAAAAAAATAGTATCATGCATAAGAAAACAGAAGAAGAAGAAAGAAAGAAGAAATATAGTAAGACAGACATCAGACAGTATTGGCAAGGTAAGACGGACACAATATTAACTGTATCACATTGTTACAGGCATGTTCTACTGTATAAGCAGATGGCTCTAATGGCTTAATAATAGTAATAGTAACCATGACAACTAGTAACAAGTTTTCTGCCACAAGTAGAAAAATATACTCATGAAAAGCAAGTTTCTGCCAGAAAGACAAACTCAGTCTACTGGAAAATCAAAATGCTTCACTGTTCAATATGTTGAATTCATGGCACCTGCTTTGAGCCACTGATAGATGTGAAAAGTCAAGATTTGAAAAAATTAAATACAATTCTGGCTTATTAAAAGCCCCAGAAATCTTTTACTAACATCAGCAGAATCAGGATCTTAGCCACAACTTGTTAATCTCTAGAAAAATTATGCTTTTAGATCGTGGCATGGATTCCTCAAGTCTTGTGCAGCAGAACTTGTGACTGCTGGATCCCCAGATTCATAACTGAAAGAAGCAAACACACAGAGCCAATATTCTTACCTACAACAGTACTCATTAATACCGTGTAATTAAAATAATCCAAATAAGACCACTGAAACCTATGTGCATCTAAAATACATGTTCTTACTACTTACCAACTCCTGTAAACTAATGCACATTTTTATTTCTATTTTAATAATAGCATGAAGTATTCTAACCAGCTTGAACTAGAATATATCATGGTATCTCTAACCAAAGAAAACCTCAAACTGGTACCAGATTATAACCCAGCACATAACTCAGTACAATTAAGGACATCATCCAAAAGAACAATCACATAACTTAAAGTTGCAAACAACACATCCAAGACTCTCAAAGTTAATGGAATTCTTTCTGCTGACTTTTATGGCTTCTGTATCAAATATACAGATTCTAATTTTTTTATTAAACATGTCCTGTAGTAAACACTTACCTTTTTAATGCAATTCTCAACTTACCTCTAACATCTTTATTACAATTTTCACATAGAAATGAGAAATTCCCAATGACACTCTCAATATTGAAGGCAACAAAACCAGCACCACAAACAACACTGTCCAGCTGAGCAAAAACTTGCCCTCCACATGGCCATAGTCCTCTCTATTTTCTTCCATGATCACTCCTTCAAAATGTCAACCCACTGCCTTTCTGAGAATATTTGCTCATCTGTAGTGGAGAATCCAGCAGTCTTCAAGAGACGGAAAAAACCAAAAATGACACATTCCAAGAGTCAAAGGTGTCTGTAAGAGAAGGCTGTTGCCCTCAGAAGCCTGGGTTGCCTTGAGAAGATGGTCTCAGAAGCCTTCAGACAGATGGTCTCAATGATAACTTAATTTTTACACCTTGTCCCGCCCTAACTCCACCCAATTACTTTTAATTGATAGGCATTTACTCACCAGACTTAAAACAGGGGAGGAGAAAGTAAAAAACACCGTAAGTAATAATATATGTTAGGTAACAAGATGCTGCCAACAACGAAACCTGTCAGTGTGTCAACGAGCTTTCACAATGCATCCCTCCAATAAATTAACAGAACCAAGTAGGCGTGGTCTTTGGACTGCCTAAAATCTCTTCTAACACTCATTTAATACACATGAAGCACTTCTCCAACTGACATTTGTTCAAATCGGTAACTTATTTGGTCAGACTTTATGCTTCATGCTGAACTGACTGCCTCATTTTGGTATTTGACCAAAGGAGTCAACCTGAAGCTTGAGGTGCAAGTCAGGCTTCTTTTTTCTTCCTAGTAACACCTGTGAGATGGAGATGTAAATTCCAGCAGGGAGTAATTGACAATACAATAAAACCTGCTGTACAAGAAGTTAGCCAAACTGTATTACAGGGTTACAAAATGCACTGTGGTGAAGTAACAAGTCACCTACCTTTGCACCTATTCAACTGCAGAATTTAAATACAATAGATAAGCAGGTTCCTCCTTCTATCAAATGCCAATAACTTAATTCACTGTTTTTAAGTAAGATCCAGTTCAGCCCTTTACACTGACCTCTCTCCTGCCCAATTGAATGCGTCACAGAAGACACAGAGGTCAATAAATGTATCTCTAGAACCTAAGAGGAGCCCACCGGCTGCTTATTTCCAGTCTTATCACAGAATAAATTAGCTAACCTTGGTAGAATTCAGGGCACGACATCCAAGACAGGCCACAAAAGATCTTTCCTTTGCACATGCTTATATTAGCATACTTGTCTAAAGCTGGGACCGTCCTTCTAAAATATCCCCTTCTCCATGTACCACTGTTTGGTTTCTGTTATAAAGCAGCCTTGGCACACACAAACTGGATTCCTTAGAAAAGAAAGGAGACCCAAAGATCCACTGTACAAAGCGTGCCCAATACTCTCCAGTCAGTAACAGAAGCAGGTACCAGTGGGCTGCACCACCACTAAGTCCTCCAGTTTATAGCAAGCACCCAGGAACCTACCAGTAGGCTCTTGACATGTTACAAGCTCACATGATATGATGACATGCTTCTTGTACCATATAACGAGTTAAGTAGCTTTGGTATCTTCTATTTGTATATTTGCAGTTGAATGCCATCCCTGAGGTCTTTGTAACTCCATCACATCTTCTTCGGCAATCTAACTTTTCTTTTGCATCTTCTTTTCATTATTTACCTCCCTTACCTTCCCTTCTATTGCTGACCTTTTTCTGAGCCTTTTGTGTCTTCTACAAAAACTTGTTCATTTGTTTTTGTAAAGTTTCTGCCTTCTATTTGCTCTTTCTCTCAACGGCAACCTCAAGCCCCTCACGCTCTATTACACTGCTGCCACCAGGCACACCATCACCCGTTACGCCTTGCCTGCCTCACCAAAAAAGGGTTCTCTAGGCTTTCCTAGGAGCAATGTTTCATTGCTTGTAAAGCACCTCTGCTCACCTGTTTCTGTTTAGCTGTCACTCTTTTATGTTCTCATTTCTGGTCTCTCCCTTGAGTGGCTCTGCCTGCTAAGACACGTTTCCTAGGTTGGTGCACAGCAGCAAGCTGGATGAACGAGCGCTGATCCTCTGGCACAACACAGTGCATCTCTGAACAGCGACCTTCAGCCTTGGCACAAGGATCAGTATGCACATCATCTGAATGCTAAAAACGCTGTGGGCCAGAGGGCGGAAGCAGTTTCTGAGACCTGATTTAAGGCAGGAAATACAGGCCAAATGAAGTCTTGATAGCACACCAGGAAGTAATAGGAAGGTGTGGCAACTCTCTTAATGGGATGCCTCAGCAAGAAGCCTAAGCACACTAAAGAGGGACTTCCATACCCTGGGGGGAGGAAGAAGAGGTTTGCCCTCCTGAATGAGGGAGAATTGTTTTCCATTCTTATCACGTGCATTGCCTCTCTAACCCTTACAAAGTCATATTCCCCAGACCTTATATGCACTGCCTCTCTGACCCTTACAAACTCACATCCCCCGGCACACCAAGAGCACAGACAGACGCTAATTATTCCCTGCCACTTTCTGAAAAAACAGATAGCATGCAAACCCCACCCATGCTCACCTCTCCATCATGCTGAATGATGGGACTGCAGCCCTTTGACAGCTATAATTTCCCCTGGCAAACCACTCAGTCCAAGACATCTGAGGCTTTCTGGGGGCTGTTGAGACAGCTATCACAGGCATATCCCAAAAAAAAGTGGAACAGGTTTGGACAGGAAACGAATAAAATAGAGAGGCTTTGGGATTCTATTGCTTTTCATCCAGCAACTCACATTTGCCACACAGCAAAATACAATTACTACCAGTTTGCTCCTGCACACACAGCGCTGCCAAGACCCACTGCAGTGAAAGCATCACCTTGAATTCATGGGCCAGCCTGGAAGCCCCAGCCCCTTGCAGGGTTGTAAAAGTGGAGGCCATAGGGATGGCATTCTCACATAAAGGGAAAGAAGATGAAGAGTTGCTACCAGCCTCTCTACTAAGGCAGTCAAAATATCTAGCCCAAAGGCTGACAGAAGGCACAACAAAATCCATATGGCCTGGTCTCTTATGTTTATTCTTTGCTTTGTCCACTTTGTACCTTCTGAAATAATGCAAAACATTTCAGTGTTATTACTCTTCTATTGCAAACCTTTAATGTTGCATGGTTTTGAGACAAACAAACAAACAAACAAACAACAACAAACCCTACATGTCATTCCTGTGCCCTTCTGGCTGTTTATCTCTCTTACCAATAGCCAACCTTCTGCAGTCATGTCCATTTTGAAGCCCAGAAGTGTGAAGGTATTGCAAATAATTCAAATAAACCTGCAGCAATGAAATGTGGTTTCACTCATTTCTCAGGTCCAAGTAAATAACAGCCAATGAATTAATACCAAACAACTACAAGCACTTCTTTACGATGAAGTACTCTATATGTCAGGAAAAGTCACAAGACACTTAATGTGCAAAACCTTCTGTTCATTTAGAAGAATGAAATACAACTTAAAAGAAAAGGATGCAATGACATGAGAAAATCAAGAGCAAAGCTTCCATTAATTTAATGAATCTCAAATTGACAGGTACAAGCATAAGAAATTCACTTGAAACAATGAAGATATTCCTGGTCTTCTAGGGAAATGAGGAGACAGAGTAGGTGTCAGCTGCCTGCTCTTGGCTCTCAATCCTTGAGGTCATTCTACTAATTTCCTATTATTAGGCAATGTTTTGCAATTGTCTGAGGGAACTGGAATTATGACCCATTCATTTTCTCACGGCAAGGAGAATCAAGTGACCTGTGCCTATCTGTAGGGCCTTATATGGAAGGGTTAAATCTGGTATAAACAGCCTTTTCCTGCATGGGAATGGCCTTACAGCAGTTGTCTTTCAAGCAGGTGCATATATGCTGTAAGCAATTAAAAACTGCAACAGGACACAACAGCTTTCAAAGAGGGCTGCTATGGTTTTGCCTGCCTTCTGATATGTTACTTACTTTCCAGGTATGCCTCCTTCCTGTCCTTCCTAACTATGCCCGTGACCCCGAAAGCTGCCTGTAGGGACGTCATAGAGGAGAGTTTGCAGCCGACACCATGCTGCCTTTCTTGTAATGTTTTTCTTATCAGAACATCACATATCCCTAACAGATACTGTTCCAAAAAAAGCACTGATACATCAACTTCAGCCAGATGGTGCTTCAGATTTTTGAGTAATACATTCCCTACAGGTTAACAAAGAGATATTTCTACCCGAGACAAATAACAATAGGATCCATGACTATCAATCAGGATCAATCTTCTATCGGTTGATCTTTTTTACAATAAATACGTAGGGTATATTGTTTACCTATTTCAAGCTGCAACATGATCAAAGGCTGCTTACCCTTAGCATTGTCATTGGACACAAGAAGGTGTTACTATTGCTAAAGTGGCTCCTCTGACTCCAGTTGTAGGGCTCCCTGGTGTTTCTATGCAAGTTTTGCCACACTACAAAGGCAGCAAAGCAGACTGATCTACTTAGCAAAGTCCTTTAAGACAATGGCACAAAGTCAAGAGAGCAGACCTAGGCTGATTTGCCAGCACTTTTTAATATTTAGGTGTACCAGGATTATGTTTTGCAGGACAAGAAAGTCTTAAAGGACTAACGACTGACCAGAGCATTCTGCATTCCAGTAATTCTGATGTGCGTACTCACCCGTGAAAACTACTAAGAGTATCTCTTTTTCAATTAAACTTTTACCAGCAATAACAAATTAAGGCCCTTTTGGTTTTTGCTTGTATCTCCTTACCTGATTGCTACTCAAGGATGAAATAATCTCTAGTAGTTTTGTTTCAAATTTTATCAAGATTGAGGTTCACGCCACACTTGTGGAAAATTCTCCAAAAAGTCAGAATAACCCTAAAGATCACCTATTGCATGGTAAGCAATGCCAGGTGGAATATTTATTTATAGAAATGACACTGTGTCCACACACTGAACTGCAAATATCCACTCCTCTGCATTCATACTGTAACTGATCTATGTCTGCTGCTCTGTTGGTCTGCATGGATCACATCTTTGCCACAAAACAGATGTGTTGATATCTGACCGCTGTAAGATTGTACTATTTGTGGTTTATCTTTGGCCATCAACAGTTGAATTATGAAAATATTGAAGAAGTATCATAAGTCCTGTATCACTCATTAAGACG